GGCGCCGTGGCAGCGGCTCTCTAAACTCAGACGCGGTTCCGGTCGAAGAAGAGGAGCCTCCGCTTCTGGGCCGAGAGCGGCTCGGAGGAGATGGTTCCTGAGGAAGAGGGATTCTCTTCGTCCGTCCCCACCCCTGACCCTCAGTCCCGCAGCTGATTCTGTTTCTTTCCCCCTTTTAAACAAACCAGCAACAGCAAACAAAACACACAGCGTTGTGATTTGCCTTCTTTGGCTCTTTGGAAAGAACCCCCAAGTTAGCCAGGGCTGGACCCCAGGAGATCGGCTGAGCGAATCCTAGAACGACCCAGAAGAGATGTCCCTTCAAAGCCCCGGGTCAGAGGCGCGCGCGGAACGCCAGGCCAGCCCCGGACCGTAGCGCCGGCCAAGCCTTCAGAGGCGCCGCGTTAGCTAGAGCTGGGCGAGGGGCGCCTCCGCCACCCAGGTGACACAGCCAGAGGGGGCTCCGCGAGGACACAGAGGGTGGCGGCGGCCAGCAGACGGCGATCGCGGCCCGCGCCGCGGCAGGGTCCGCGCTGACGCGCCGAGGAGCTTCGGGCCGGGCTGGCTGCCCCCCACCTCCCGCAGCGGTCCCCGGACCCGGACTCGCAGCCTCCAGGCCCGCCCCTCTCGGGTGCGCCCCTCCTCCCACTTCGCCCAGAACCTGCCCCTCCGGTTGGCCGAGGTGACCTCAGAGACCTCTTCCGAATCCCTCTCCCGGAGTTTTCTCTGCCGCCGCCTCCTCCAGCTCAACAGACCTTTCTCCCTCCACCGTCCCGCCTGGAAGCTGCCGCTTCGCTAGAGTTCTCTCTTCAACTATTCTCTGAGCCCTTGGAGCGAGCCTCAGAGCCTGGAAGCCTCTGCCTCGGGGGGGGCTCCCTGGACCTCCACCTCTGTCCTCCAAGGGTCTTGTTCTCACCATGGCCAGGAGATTGTCACCAGGGCAGATAGTCTGAACCCCATGTGGAATAATTTCGAGTCTTGCACGGTCCCCAAGAACCTCAACGTACACAACTTATTCGGGGCTTGAGACTAGTGCTGAGCTTAGAAAGCCACATATGGATGTCTCAGAGCCAGCCTTAAAAAAACAGAAACAACAACAACAACAACAAAAAAAAAAAAAAAAAAAAAAAAAAAAAAAAAAAAGGAAGAGGGAGGACAAGGGAGTCAGCCCACAGCGGCCCTCTCTGCCTCCAAGATCTCTCATGAGCACAAAGGGCTGTGTAAGGAAGTGAACTGATTACTCTCTGTCAAGGGTTTGAGTTTCGGGTGTTTAAGATCCGGAACTCGGTTTATTTGAAAGTCAAGGCTTTTGTGCAAGAGTTTAAACACATCATTTCCATACATACACACTCCTTCATAATGCACCTATGAGCACTTGCATATACAAGCACATATCACACACACACTTTCCTCTAGCAATGGTCGACCTGAATTTTCAGAGGATTGTAACCACAGGTTGGATAAAATACTTAGCCACTTTTAAGAGTCAGTCTTCGGCATTTTGAGCAAGGGCACTCTGAAGTTTCTGCATTACTGAAAGAACAAAATTGGTCAGTCAACGGTGAAACCAATTACTGGCCTTGGGTTCTGAGCTTCTCCTAGTTTTAGTAAGTAAGCCAGTTTCCAAATCCTCAAGAATATGGTTTTTTAAGAAGGCATCAGGCTGGAAGGCAGCCCCAGCAAGCTGTGGAGAGAGGATGGAAGTATTTACCAAACTGGTCTGAGATTGTCCTTCTTGTGTGTGGACAGCCATGGGAGGGGGGGTGAGAATAGGAGGATGGAGAAACAGGACTGTGGAAGTTGCCACTGGCAGGAGTTGTAATGCCCCTCACTGCTCATGCCAGGGTGGAAGGCACGAGGAGGTCTGGCACACCGGCCGCCACCGCTCAGCTGGCACAGGCTGCCGCAGCCCATCTTCCGCCACTTGGCCACAGTTACACCTGAACCTCGGCCTCCGCACTTGGGCAGGTGGACACCCCCCTCGGCTGCCCTGCTGGGGCCTGTGGACACACCCTCACCCCAACAGGAGCTTCTGCAGAGCTGTGCCCAGTGTGGGCAACATCCTATTTGAGAACAATGCTCAGGGCTGTGGCGGGGAGAAATGAGGCCGTTTCAAAGTCATCTAGCCAAGTTCCCCAAAGCATGAAGCATTCCTGCAAAGCTCACTGGAGTGCACCGTGTTTATAAAATAAATTGCCCCATTGATATGGAAAATAATATGCCAAGCTTGATTCATACAAAGCATTTTCAGGGGGTCTTTGGCTATTTAGTTTAAAATCTAAATTGAAAAGCACAGGAAAGAAATCTTTCAATTGCTAAGTGGATAATATAGTTTATAATTTGTAAACCGTTTCCTTTATTTCAGTCTTGCTGACTTCCCCGTCACAGTGGATCTCTCTGCATACCCATTGCTTCCTAAATTTCAAAGGAAAATGGTTCTACAGCATTCTTAAACAATATTCCTGTTCGTTTTGTTCATTTACAATGTAACTGATATTTGTAGGTAGTTCCTGAAACAAATCAAAAGATTTAATAAACTTGATTGCTGAAATAAGAAGGTAGCTGAAAACTAAGTTCATAACCTAGATGTTTATCAAAAATATATGACGACGTTTCCTTTCTAGCATAATTCCATATTATTTGATGAGTTTACTAGCGAGTACTGAATGGCCTGAAATGAAAGCTCAGTGGCAGAAGCATGGCTTTGCCTCTGTGCTGTAGCGACCTGGGATAAAAATAAAATAAACCTATGAGATAATCATAGCAATGGAGCAACGGGGTCAGGAATTTCACAGCCTCAGATATTTTTGTTAACAGAAAAAAAGAACTGTCACATGTCCAGCGTCCGACATGCTGGAACACCCTTATTCTCGCCATTATCCCAGTTATCTCCGTCATCAGAAGAGCCTCTGATTACGCGGGACGGATCTGCAGGCATCCGGCTCGGCCTGCTTTAGCCACCAGCAGCCTCCTGGGGCACCTTCATCTTCGAGGCAGAAACCCGCCCCTATCCCCTCCCCAGCCGCCCCAGGGCGTCGGAAGAACTTGTGAGCTCTGAGGGTCTTTCTGGAAGATCTAGCCTCCGGCTCTCTCTCGGAACCGGCAGTGTGAACCCGGGTAGTCTGGGGTTGGGTTGGAAATCTCTCGTACACCCCGGAAGCATCCTAGTTCTGAGACTCAAGAATTACGGCCGTTTCTGCGTGCCTTGGTCATCCCCAGAACTGGCCTTTTCTTTTTCACAAAAACCAAACCAAACCAGTGCACTGCACCCCGGTGAGGAGGCGCTACCTTTCCAACTCAGTTTCAGCACCCGCAACCCCCCCACCCCCGCCCCAACCCCGAGTTCACACGGCTTTCCTAATCCTTTGACAAACAGCTTCTGGGACAATCGCTCCAGAAAAACTCGGGGGTAGGGAGGTTTTCGTTTGCTGTTTCAACAAACTTTTTTTTTTTTTTTTTTTTTTTTTTTCTCTTGGAGTAACTAGACTCCATATAGATCTTTTTGACCTCTGCAGAAATTCAAGAGAAGAAAGCGTAAACTGGGAAGGGTATCTGACTGTAGCATCCCAATCCATTAAGAGACACCCCACCCCACCCCACCCCGTCAAAGAAAGTTCAGGGTAGCGAAGGGAGCTAGAGCCCTGCACCACACAAAAGCGGCCGCACCTCCATCCACGGGGACCCGGGTTATGGAGCCCGAATCTGTAAAGGCCTTTAGAGCAGGCTCTGGGGAAGGCGCCAAGCGCCGAGCGGGGAGACCTGCGGCGCTGCTTTCGGCTTAGGCTGCCCCGGGGAAGCTCTCCCCCGCCCCGCTGCTACCCTGCACTCCGGCTGAGCCCAGGGCAAAGTGAGGCCTCGGCTCCAACTTTCCCCGGCCCCGCGGACCCAGAGTTGGCTGGCTGGGGACTGGGGAGGAGCCGGCTCTCCAACGAGCGCCTTTAAACCCGACCCGGGGCTGTACTGCGCCCCCCCCCCCCCCCCCCCCCCCCCCCCGCCCCCCCCCCCCCGGGGTTTTCCCCCCCCCCCCCCCCGCCTCCCCCGCCAGCGAGCCTCCCTTCGCTTGGTTTTCCACCCCATCGTTAATCACTCGGAGCGCGCGGGCGGGGAGAGGCGCGGGGGGACGAGCTCCGGGTTCGCCGCCGCGGCGCGCGCGCTCAGGAAGCGGCGCGGCTGTGACCCCGCCCCCCGCGCCCCCTCTCCCCCCTCCTTCCTGCCCCGGCCCCCCCTCCGCCCTCCCCCTCCGCCTCCCGGCTCCGCCGCCCGCGCCCAGTGTCTCTACTCCCTCCCCACGTCACTCGCCAGCGCGCCATGCAAATCACCGCCGCCGCCGGCTCCCATTGGCCGCGGCGCGCTCATTTAATGGCAGCCCGGGCCCGGCGTATGGCTGCTGGGCCCCCCGCGCCACCGGCCCCGCGTGCGCCTCCGCTCCGAGCGCTCGGCCTCGGGCGGCCAGCGGCCAGCGCGGCCCGGGCACCGCGGCCCGGCTCCCCGACCCTGCGCGCGCGCGGGCACCTGCCCCGCGGTCCCTAGCCCCCTCCCGGCGGCCCCGCGCCCGCCCCCTCCGAAGCCCCCTCCGAGCCCCCCTCGGCGCCCGGCTCCCCCCCGAGGCCCCGGGGACCGGCACATGCCCGGCGCACGCGGCGCGCCGCCCTGCTAGAAGTTGCGGCCGCGGAGTTGGAAGCCGGCGCAGGAGAGAGACGCCGAGGCGCCCGGAGGAGGCAGCGAGCCCCGCTCGGGGCCCAGCGGCGCCGCTTCGGACCCCGAAAGTGGAGCCTCAACTTGGCCACGACTGCACCTGTTTGCACAGCTCAGCCTAGAGAGCGCGGACGGCGGCGGCAGCGGCGGCCATCGACCTGCCGGGCGAGCGGTTCGTGCACCCGGAGAAACTTTGCACCGCGAGTCGGACCCGCGCCAAGTGCGTGTGCTTTCGCCTCTTTTTTGTTGTCGCCTCCACCCAACCTCCCTCTCTCCGCTAGGCGCCCCCCCCCCCCCCCCCGGTCTCTCTGGGCCGAGCCTCTCTCCACCCCCACCCCCACCCGGCCGTCTATGCTCCAGGCCCTCTCTCCGCGGTCCCGGTGAAGCCGCGAGCCGCCCAGATGTACAGCATGATGATGGAGACCGACCTGCATTCGCCCGGCGGCGCCCAGGCGCCCACGAACCTCTCGGGCCCGGCCGGGGCGGGCGGGGGCGGCGGCGGGGGCGGCGGGGGCGCCAAGGCCAACCAGGATCGGGTCAAGCGGCCCATGAACGCCTTCATGGTGTGGTCCCGCGGGCAGCGGCGCAAGATGGCCCAGGAGAACCCCAAGATGCACAACTCGGAGATCAGCAAGCGCCTGGGCGCCGAGTGGAAGGTCATGTCGGAGGCGGAGAAGCGGCCGTTCATCGACGAGGCCAAGCGCCTGCGCGCGCTGCACATGAAGGAGCACCCGGATTACAAGTACCGGCCGCGCCGCAAGACCAAGACGCTGCTCAAGAAGGACAAGTACTCGCTGGCCGGCGGGCTGCTGGCGGCCGGCGCGGGCGGCGGCGGCGCGGCCGTGGCCATGGGCGTGGGCGTCGGGGCGGCGGCCGTGGGCCAGCGCCTGGAG